ATTTGGTTAACACAACCCCTACCGGGCCGGAATCCCGCTTGCTGCTCTCGGGTCAGTATCTAACGAGCCACCGTAAGGCGGCGAAGCACAATTGACGCCAACAGTCTCGTTACAACCGGGGTCAAGCTGATCCCCCTGTGGCTACCTTACTCGCTACGCGCCCCTTTTTTGAAAATGGGCACTATCACCGATTCTCCCCAGTTGTCTGGGACAGACTCCTTATCCCAATTGCAGGCAAACAGATCGGACAAGCGCTGACTGAGGACTTGGCCTCCGTACTTGAACAGTGCGGGTGGAAGGTCATCCGGACCGGGAGCTCGGTGGCGCTTGAGCGAACATATGCAGTGGAAGACCCAAAAATATCCTAACTAAAATGGCAACCATAAACGGCCCACCAAGTTTTCCATGTACGAGGCTGTCACAGAACCGAAGTACGGCGTCGCGATGACGGCACCGCGACTACCATACCTTGTCTGATGGCTTGCCCGTAGTTCACCATATCTCTAATATTTCCCAGACTGCGTGCTACCTACAAGACTGTTTCAGTCCGTTTAATTTGTGCAAGGACTCAAAATCAATAGCCATCTTATAGTGCCGTCTTCTTGTTCTCCTCACAGATCCAATCGTTCACCCAACGGCAATATTGGTTGCTCGGTATATTGGTGAAATCAGACCTTGCTTTTAACCAGATCTAACGTGTGCTGACTATCATGAAAAAATAAAAAATCTTACAGCCGGGAGATTGCGTATTCGTTGAAAAATTTCATGTCCGATTTGGGGACGGGAGTTCTAAGGATAATCTCATCTGGACTGAAAGCAATATCCCCGTAGAACTTAATTGAATATTTCCATCAGGATACATTCTTGGCAGATCTGATAAAAATCATGAAGCTAATTGAATGCATCGAGATTTTTTAAACTAATATAGAAAAACTACGGGCATTCTCACGATTTTTATCGGGCCGAAGGGCGGATCCCAGTTCTGTGGACACCAGAATTCAATGAGCACACTTTGCGCGTGGTTTGCGAGGAGCAACAACATGAACAACTAGGGCCTTCATTTTGATTTATTTTTGCGCTGTTAATATTAGTGGTTGCCTCTTCTGTCGTGAGCACACCTCAGTCAGAGTGGCAGTTTGTCTGCGCTTTCCCAAAATATGCAATTTTGAACTAAGACCGTAGAGTTGTAAGTTTCCTCTGGCTGTTTCCAAGAAGTCAGATTACCGAAAGATTCTGCCGTAAGCTAATTGAGTCTAACTTGGCGTTTACGCTACATGCTACCAATAAATAAACAACTTGTTTACCCTGAGCTAATAAACTAATGCTTCAAACGTGATGATTTTCCATTGGGTGGTTAGCGTAATTGTATAGAACAATTAGGCGATAGGAGGAAAATGTCTCCGTTTTGAAGTCAGAAGGATTTTTCCCAGATATAAGCTTGCTCCTCTATAGAATACTCAATCCTTCAC